CACTAGGATGGGTGGAATAAAAGCGATGGTCAACAAAAAGTGTTGGCAAGGGTGTGGAGAAATCAGAACTCGCACACATTTCTGGTGGGAGGGTAAACTGCTGCAGCTGCTTGGGATGACAGCCTGGCAACTCCTCAAAAAATTAAACATGGTTATCATGTGACCCAGAAAATCTACTTCTGCATATATACCCAAGAGAACTGAAAAACAATTTCACACAAAATCTTGTAAACGAATGTTCATAGCCGTGCTACTCATCAGAACCACAAAGTGGAAACAACTCGAACGTCCATCACCTGATGAACTGATAAACAAATTGAGATTTATCCATACCATCGAGTACTACTCAGCTGTAAAAAGGAAAGGGGTTCTGATACACTCTACGACAGGGGTGAATACTGAAAACATTACACTAGATGAAGGAAGCCAGACACAAAATGTCACACATCATATTATTTCATTTACATGAAATGTCCAGACTAGGCAAATTCTATTATCCCTCATTTATTTATTTATTCAATCATTTATTTCTTCGTATGGACTCATGGATATTTATTTTATACTTTGGGTTATAATCCAATGCTACATTGTTTATTTTTTTGGTCAGATTGTTCCAGCTTTAGCCGTTGGAAGCTCTTCCAGTCGGCTCCCGTGCACCTTTTTTCCCCCAGTGGTTTCTTACTTTCTGTGGTTTTTTTCTTTTTTTTTTTTGGTGAGGAAGATTGGCCCTGAGCTGACATCTGTGCCAGTCTTCCTCAAATCTTATATATGGGACTCCACCACAGCATGGTTTGATGAGCATTGTGTAGGTCCGTGCCCAAGATCCAAACCCATGAACCCATGAACCCCAGGGCCGCCAAAGTGGAGTGCACAAACTTAACCACTGTGCCAACAGGCCGGCCCCTCTTACTTTCTGTTTTAAATATTATCTGTGAATACATTGAGAACCACCTCAAACAATGCTATAATTTTTGCTTCCAAATATCAAACATAATTTCTAAAACCCAAGGGGAGGAGAATCACCTGTGTATTCAGCAAATACCCTTCCTATCCCTCTTCACTCCTGACCTCCCCTGTGTCCTTCCGCTGTCATTGCCCTTCTGTCTCAAGAATTTCCTTTAGCAATCCTTTCAGATCAGGTCTGCTAACAACAAAATCACTGCTTTCCTTCCTCTGAGAATGTTTTCATTCACTTTCACTCCTGAAGGATATTCTCACTGCATATGGAATTCCGCTGACAGTTCCTTTCTCTTAGCACTTGAAAAAGTGCCACTTCCTCTGGCTGCCATGGCTTCTAGTGAGAAATCACAGGATTTAGAGACATTATGCCCCTGTAGGCAATGTGTTATCTCTCCTTGGATGGTTTTTTTCATTTACTTTTCAGAAATGTGATTATGATGTTTCTGGGAATGGATTTCTTTGGGTTTATTCTGTTTGGGATTCACTCAGCTTCCTGAATCTGTAGGTTATGACTTTCCCCAAATTTGTGAAGCTTTCAGTCATTATTCATTCAAATATTTTTTTCAGCCCTGTACTCTTCCTCCTCTTCTAAATGTTACTGTTATTGTCCTACAGCCAGTCCCTCAGATTCTGTTCATTTTTTTAAAATTTTTAATTGTGGATATAAAATTTAAACATATAAAATTTACCATCTGAACTATTTCTAAATGTACAGTTCAGTAGTGTTAAATATATTCACAATGTGGTGCAACCAATATCTAGAACTTTTCATCTTACAAAACTGAAACTCTATCCCCATTAAACAACAACAGCCCATTTCCCCCTCCACACCAGCCCCTGGCAACCACCATTCTAATTTCTGTTGTTGTAAGTTTGACTTCTCTACATACTTCACATAAGTGGAATCACACAGCATTTGTCCTTTTGTGACTGGTTTGTTTCACTTAGTGTAATGTCCTCAAGGTTCATCCACGTTGTAGCATGTGTCAGAATTTCTTTCCTTTTTAAGGCTGAATAATTCTCCATTGCATGTATATACTGCATTTTGTTTATCCGTTCATCTGTCGATGGACACTTGGGTTGCTTCTTCCTTTTGGTAATTGCGAATAGTGATGTTATGAACATAGGTGTGTTAATATCTCTTCAGGCTCCTGCTTTCAAGTCTTTTGAATATATACCAAGAAGTGGAATTGCTGGATCATATCGTAATTCTATTTTTAATCTTTTTGAGGAACTGCCATGCTGTTTTCCATAGTGGCTGCACCATTTACATTCTTTTGTGTCTGGTTTCTTCACTCCACATTGTGCTTGAGATTCATCCCTGTTGTTGGCAGTAGTGATGCTTTGTTCATTCCCGTCACTGTGTAGTACTCCATTGGGTAAATATTACACAATTTATTTACCCATTTCACTATAGACATTTGGGTTGTTTCTAGGTTTGGGCTATTAAAAAGAGTGCTGCTATGAACATTCTTGTATGTTTCTGGTGAGCATATACACACATTTCTGCCAAGTTAAATTCCCAGGAGCGGAATTACTAGTCATCATGTATATAAATATAAATAATAAAAAATAGGATATCTATCTGTCTATCATCTCCTATTAGATAATGTCACACAGTTTTTCACAGTGGTTGTGTGCACTTGTTGTCACATCAGCAGTGTATGAGAGTTCCAGCTGCTCCACATCTTTGCCAGCACTTGTTATTTGGTATTGTCTGTCTTTTTCATTTAAACGATTCTGGTGGTTACAGTAATATTGTATTAGGGTTGTAATTTGAAATTTCCTGATGACTAGTGAAGTCAACACAGACCTTTTCAAATGTTTACTGGCCATTTAGGTATCTCCTTTTGTGAAGTGCCTAGTCCAGGTTGCGCCCATTTTTCTGTAAGGTTGTCTGTTTCTTCTTTATGATTTTGTGAGAGTTCTTTATAAGTTCTGGATATGAGCTTTTGTTAGATATACATACTACGATATCTTCTTCCTTTCTATGTCTTTCCTTTTCAGTCTGTAATGGTATCTTTTGATGAACAGATGTTCTTACTAATGATGATGTCCAATTTCTCTCCTTTTTGTGTGTGTGTGTGTGTGTGTGTGTGTGAGGAAGATCAGCCCTGAGCTAACATCCACGCCAATCCTCCTCTTTTTGCTGAGGAAGACCGGCTCTGAGCTAACATCTATTGCCATTCCTCCTCCTTTTTTTCCCCAAAGCCCCAGTAGATAGTTGTATGTCATAGTTGCACATCCTTCTAGTTACTGTATGTGGGACGCCGCCTCGGCGTGGCTGGACAAGCGGTGCTTCGGTGCGTGCCTGGGATCCGAACCCGTGCCGCCAGTAGCGGAGCACGCGCACTCAACCGCTAAGCCACGGGGCCGGCCCCCAATTTCTCATTTTTATTTCCCTTTTAGGGCTTTCTGTAACCTCTTTAAGAAAATCCTTACCTGACCCAAAGTTATTAAAATATTCTGTTTTCTCCTAAGAGAAAACAGAATTTTTTTATTCTTATTCATTTTTTATTCTTTATTCATTGTTTATCTTTCATATTTAGGTCTGCAGTCCATCTGGAATCAATTTTTGTGTGTGGTGTGAGGTTTGGATCAATATACACTTTTTCCTCATATGACTTTTCAGATGACCCAGTACTATTTTTTGAAGCCCATCCTTTCCCATCCCACTACTGCCCCGTCCTCACTATTTGGAATAGCTGTAGAGCATTCTCTTCTAAGGCACTCCCGTCACCTACTCAGCTTTCTTCCATGATGTATTCGAGTTATTTTCTGGCCTCTGCTATCATCAAACAGAGTGAACATTTTTGTGTGGACATCAAGGCCTTCTGCAGTTGTTAAAACAGAGTGGAATTCTTGAGCCAGAAAATACTCACTTTTTTGAAAAATTAATAAATTATACCATTTAAAACTCAAAGAATACAAAGAGGCTGAGTGAAAAGTCTGCCTCCTACTCTGTCCCCAAAACTTCCAGTTCCTCCTCCACCAGGTGACCACAATCATAGAATCTTGTATATCTTTCCAGATGTCTTGTAATGCATGAACAAGCATTATTCATATTCTTTTCTCCTTTTTTTTACACAGCTCGTGACATTCTATATGTTCTGTTCTGCATCTTGCCTTTTTAGCTTAACAATATACCTTAGAAATCTTATTACTGTACGTAAAAAAGTGTCTTCGTTCATTTTTAAGGCTCTATAACATTCCATTTGGTGGATATACCATAATTTAGTCAGTCTCTTATTGACAGACCTCTGCCGTGTTTCCAATCTCTTGCTATTCAAACAATGCTTCAGTGAATAACTTTGCACATGTTATTTCTCGTGTGTGTAATACATCTGTGGGAGAATTTCTGGAAGTGGGCTTGCTGGGTCTAAGGGGATATGCATTTGCAGTTTGATCAGCATTTCCAAATTACACTCCCACCAGCGATGTATGAAAGCACCTGTTTTCCTATAGCCTGGCCAATAGACTGTTAGGTCTGGAATCTTTAGCCATTTGATAAGTGGAAAATTGTAGATTATTTTGCATTTATCTTACTGTGTGTGAGATTGAGCATCTTTTCAGAAATTCAAGAGCTACTTGTGTTTTTTGTCAACATCCTTTGATGGTAGGCACTTCTTAAAAATCACTCAGGCTGCAAATTCCTCCCAATATTTCCTCATGAGAAGCCTTAGAGATGGACTTGCTGGGGCAGAGTTTGCACTTTTTAAAAGCTATCTCCATACCCTGCCAATTGACCTTCCATAAGGGAGGCCCCATTAACTCTCCCTCCACAACGGAGCCCGGGATCCGTCTCCCTTCATCATCATCGGCCCTGGGTCTCATATGTGGAAAAGGACACCCGCGTGACGTTGAAGCAGGCACCCCTAGTTACAAGTGGGGAGCCCGGCGTGCTCCTGGAGGAGCCGGCACCGCCCCCCGCCCGCGTGGCCCCGCCCCTAGCTGCAGGCCCCGCCCCGCCTGCGCGGCCCTGCCCCCCGCGTGCCCCTGCGTCTCTCGTCACTTGACGTCGGCGGCGCGGAGAAGGGCGGGGTCGCATCGCTCCCGGTCCGACGTTGGCGCTGTCGCCGCGCGGGAGAGTGTCCCCGAACGAAGCGCGCCGCGAGGTGACAGCGGGCGCCTGGCGGGGCGCGGACGGGGCCAGGGCGCCCGGGCGCGTCCCCTCCGTCCCCCCCGCCCGGCCCGGCGCTCGGCGCCGCCCGGTTGCTAGGCAGCCGCGTCCGGGCGCGGGAGGCGGGGCGGCTGGCGGGGAGCGGGGTCGGGGTCCCGGGCCGCGCGCGATGGAGCAGTACTGCATCCTGGGCCGCATCGGGGAGGGCGCGCACGGCATCGTCTTCAAGGCCAAGCACGTGGAGGTGAGCCGAGGCCGCGGCCCCCCCCCCGACCTCCCCCGGTTCCGTTCTTCCCTGCCGGTGTCCGGGCCACGCTGGGCCGCTGCGCCAGCCTGCCCGCCTCCCTCCTCCGGGGGGGTGCGCCCACCACTCTTGCCCCCTTCAGTGGGGGCGTCCAGGTTGCGGCCAGCTGCCCACCCACCAGCGACGCTACAGCGGTCGTCCCGCGAGTGTGCCCCAGGAGCGTGGCGTGGATGTCTCTGAGCTCAGTGCCCAGCGCTGCTGGGTGCCGGGCTGGCCCTGACTTCCCTCCAGAGCGGGGTGGGGGCGCTTTCCACCCCCAGAGGGCCTCAGGCCCCGGCGGTCCGCCGAGGTGGCGCGTTTCTCGTCCTCTCGCCTCCTTTCCCGGCCGGGGATGGGGCGGCAGTGTCTGCCTTTTGTCCGCACAGACTGGAGAGATCGTTGCCCTCAAGAAGGTGGCCCTGCGGCGGCTGGAGGACGGCATCCCCAACCAGGCCCTGCGGGAGATCAAGGCCCTGCAGGAGATCGAGGACAGTCAGTATGTGAGTGGGGCGCGGGTTCGGAGGCGCCCGCCCTCCTCCGCTCTCTCCCCTCTGGGGGCCGCACCCACTCTGCTCGCCCACGTCTCTCCTCACCTCTCGCTGACTCATTTTTTGTCCACGTTTACCCTCACTCATTCCCTCCCTCATTCACCCACTTATTTCTTCGTATAGTCGTTCATGCATCATTCACTAACTTACCCTTTTTTCTCGAAACAGTGATTTCTAGTGATAATCATAACTGCCACCTATTGAGCTCCTGTTATGATCTGCAGGCTGAGTTAACTGCCATGCGTACATTGTCCCCTGAGTCCTCTCTGTTACTCTGCAAGGCAGGTTTCAGGATCTCCGTCTCTCAGGCCAGGGGAGGAGCCTCAGCCACCAGCTCACGACCCTCACCTGGTCCCTGGAGGCTTTGGCCCAGGTCTGATTGAGGAGTCAGCATGTTTTAACTAAACTTGGGGCCTCGGGTAGCCTCTGCCCTGTGCTGGGCACTGGTGATGCGAAGAAAAAGCAGCCTGACCCAGCTCTTGAGGACTTAAGTGGGGTGGGGGAGATGGACAGAGGGTGCAGGGCCCACCTGGCATGGTTTGTGCTGTGATGGGACTGGGAGGAGGGACACCTGACACCCCCAGCCTCATTCTCTTCCTGGGACTCTCTCTTGTCCATGTCAGCAGTAGAGACCTGCTTGACTTCCTGGGGAGTCCCAAGGGTGGGTGATACTCGGACTGTTCCTTATCCTCTGGAGATGTCCCTGATAGATTGGGTGATAAAAGCGTGTTATAAAACTGCATGTGTCCTCCTGGTTTTGTATGAAAATACTATGTATATCTATGAAGGTGTGCTTGCCTGTGCCATATCTAGTGTAAAGTCTGGTGGAATATACTTTAAGGTGACTATATGTGATAGGATTTTTCTTTTCTTTTCTTTTCTTTTTTACAGTTTTGTATATTATCTGAATTTATGTGTGTGTTCCGATCTGTAAAATGATCGTGCCCCACCTTCCAAGTCAGAAAACCAGCAATAAGGCCATTCTTGCTTTTTGAGGAAAGTCAGAGGGCTTGCTGACAGCCCATGTGTGGGAGAGGCCGAGGGCCTGGAACGAGGCTGGTCACATGGGCCCGAGTCCTGTGGATCAGCAGGCCTGAAGGTTCTATCTTTAAAACACTCCAGATTTCACCCTGGCCCAGGCCACCGTCACCTTGCACCAAACAGCTACGGCAGCCCCCGCTGCTGCCCCCACCCTGTCAACAAATGTAAATGAGATCATCCACACCACTGCCTAGCTGGAAAAGCCCCTGTGGCTTCTCTTCACTGTCACCATCTGCTCCTGCCCGCCCCCAGCCTCTCCTCTCATTCATTCAACACAACTTCTTAAGCGACTCTTTGATGACAAGCACTGTCTAGGCTCTGGGAGCAGAGAAGAGAGCAGACGTCCTTCCCCTAAACAACCCCACCGGCACATGTCCCCTCCAGCCTCCTTCCTTTTCTTCCTCTGGGGTTTGTGCTTGCTGCCCCCTGCCCAGAGCTCCTTCCCAGATCCCTGCATAACCGACCCCACCCCTCTCTTCTCCTGTGTCCTCATCAGAACCAGGACCTACCCCGCTGGTTGGTTTGCTCGTTTGTCAGTCGTCTGTCCCTCTGTGCTTTGAGCTCCATAAGATCCTTCAGGACCCACCGGCCCTTGCTCCTGCTCACTGCTGTGCAGCCCAGCCCCTCTGGCCCTGTGTGCCCTCAGGGAGTATACGTGATGTGTCTCCAGCTGTCCCAGTGCTGAGGAGTTGTGATTGCTGGTGCCTTCTCTCGGTGCTGGGGTTTAATGGCCCTAGAGGAAACTGGAGGAAACCTGTGCTTGTGTGTGTGTGCGTGCGTGTGTGTGACCAGGTGATTTTCCCGTTCCTGGGCTGGGTGGGGGACCAGCCCCTGCCCTAAGTGGCCTTCTTTAGACCTCCTTTTCCCTGAGTGTTCGTGGAGCGTTAGAGTGGGGTCCTGCCTTCTCTCGGGAGAGGGGAGCACCAAGAGGGCTCCGAGCTCCCTGGTTCTGAGCCCAGATCTTGTGTCACTTCTCTGGCTGCCTGGTCCTCTGGCAGGGCAGGGACTGAGGTCCCAGAGAGGGTCTGAGCTGTGAGTCGGGGGTGATAGGATGCCCTCCGCAGGTGGTGCAGCTGAAGGCCGTGTTCCCACATGGCGCAGGCTTCGTGCTGGCCTTCGAGTTCATGCTGTCTGATCTGGCCGAGGTGGTGCGCCATGCCCAGAGGCCACTGGCCCAGGCGCAGGTCAAGAGCTACCTACAGATGCTGCTCAAGGGTGTCGCCTTCTGCCACGCCAACAACATTGTGCATCGAGTCAGTTCCATCACTGGCCGGGTTAGGGCCTGGGGGCCTGGCTGGGCTGGGAGTGGGCCAGCCTTGAAGAAGGCGTGGTCAGAGGGGGGACGTGGGGGCAGGGCCTGTGGGTAAGTGGCCAGGGGTGTGGCCCTGGAGGAGGTGTTGTCCTAGGCTGACCCGGGTCCTTAGCCTGGCAAGCCATCCTGTTCTGAGGTCCTCTGGGGGCTCTGGAGGAACTAATGCCTCCTTTGGTACCCTCAGGACCTGAAACCAGCCAACCTGCTCATCAGTGCCTCAGGCCAGCTAAAGATAGCAGACTTTGGTCTGGCCCGGGTCTTTTCCCCAGACAGCAGCCGCCTCTACACACACCAGGTGGCCACCAGGTAGGGAGGGCCGCTTCCCAGGCAGGACGTGGCAATGGACAGGCCCCAAACCTCCTGCTGGGGAAGAGATGCTTCTGGACCTCCTGTCCAGACAGTGCTCGTGGGGCTGGTGTGGGGGCCAGGGTGACCTTCTGGGCTTCCTGTCAGACCAGTGACCTGGTTGTGACCGCCCACCCTCTTCCTCACAGGTGGTACCGAGCCCCCGAGCTCCTGTATGGTGCCCGCCAGTATGACGAGGGTGTGGATCTGTGGTGAGATCTGTGGGCTGGGCAAGGGGGAGTGTGGGTCATGGAGTTACTCTTCCTCTTGAGCTTTGAGGTCTCTAAGCCATTTGGGGAGTTTTCCTGCTGTGAGCTCTAGGTTGCCTTGAGGGTGTCTTCCCTGGTTAGGGTATCTCTGAGGAGTTTGGGATTAGTGTTTCTCTCCATGACATCTTTGAGCTGAGTGGGATCCGAGTGGTTGTCCCAGTGGGAAGCTTCTGGGCTGGGATGGGAGAGGTGGTCTGAGGCGTGGAGCATCTAAGCTGGTACGCAGGGGGTTGTATCCCAGGATGCAGTGTCCCTGAGCTATCCAGAGGCTTGGGTCCCTGGATATGAAGGCTCTGAGCCTTTATTGGGGGTAGGGTGGTTTGTACGTGCCTAAGAGTTTGAGATTCTGGGGCTGTTTGGAGGTCTGCCCCAGAACGTGAGGAGGGCACTGTGTGTCCCAGAATGTGAGGCTCTGAGAAGGTTCAGGGTTGTAGAGGGGTTGCTGCGTGTTCTAGAGTTGAGGCTCGAGAGCTCTTTGGTGAGTGGGATATGCTCTATGCTCTATGCTTGAGGTCTCTGATTGTTTGGGGGTCTGTATTCTTGGGTATCAAGCCTCTAGGCTACTTTGTAGGTGCTTGACCCTAGTGTGCGGTGCGGATGCTGGTGTGGGGAGACCTGTGTTCATGGTGTGAGGCGATGGAGCTGGTGTGGGGAGACCTGTGTCCGTG